TGCTGGAAAATGGGTCCAGCGTCCCAAATGTGCAGTTGAGATTCGAACTCAGGTCTGTATTTCAATAGTTCATGAACTATTGAAATTTTGTAATCAACTGAGCTAGGCACGTTGTTATTGTTATTATTTTGTAATTTCGACTTATTTGCACGCACGACAGTGAATCCTGCAGTTAATCATTAGGTAGGTAGCACTTCCATCTTCCGCCACGCAAAACATATTGTCATTGTGGCTGTTAGACTGAGATTCGCACCAAATACAGCTACAATGGTTTTGCCTGATCAGGAATGAAGCTGCGTTGACATCAGCTTCAGAAGACGAAAAGTTTTTCAAACTTTTTCCCTTATTAGTTCGGACGGATCTGCTCTTCTTCTGCTTGTGTTTTTTTTTTTTTAATTTCCCAGGAAAAGCTCCCCAAGGAGAGGATTCTGTAGATCATCTTCAGAAAACGACGAGTTCCCCCTATTATTATTTGGTCGTCTCGTTTTCAAGTTTTTCTGCTTGTGTTCTTTTGCAGAAATGCCCCTCCAAGGCGAAAAGATTCCGTAATTTATCTTCAGAAAGCAACTAGTTTCCCTTGTTAGTATGGATTTTCTCTTCCTTTTTGCTTTTTTTTTTCATCTTCAGAAAACAAACAACTAGTTTCCCCTGTTAGTTTTTTTTTTCTCTTCTTTTGCTTTTTTTTTTTTTTCATTCCTCAGAAAACGATTAGTTTCCCTTATTAGTATGGATTTTGTCTTCTTGTGCTTGTGTCTTGTGCAGATATGCCCTCTCAGGAGAACACATTCCCTGAAGAAGAACCATTGAAACCTGCTGTCAGTCCACAAGAGATTACTACCTCTCTAAGTAAACTTATGGAAGCTGTGCGAACGGTTGTTGCCTGTGAATGCCCATACGTGAGAGCATCGGCATTGAAGGTGAGGGACACCCAGAATACTGAGAATAGGCCCTTTAAAATTTGGAGAAACAACGTCTGATGTAATTGCAGTCACATACATCTGGATGCAATCCTAACCCTTATGTGGCATTCGCCGCAGGCTGCCAGCCAATGGCAAGCTGCACGCTGATTCCGTTTTTAGAAAGACGAGATGGCCATATGATGGGTAACGATCAACGCCCGGGGGATGCATCAGGGTCTTCGCATTACCGGAATGTTCGCTCCACGCCGGCTTCTGTGGTGGCACCATTCTTCTTTGTCGAGGCAGGATGACCATAAAGATGATGAAGAATATCTTGCAAATGCTATCGTCCGATTGTAAGATGGAAAAGGAAGAAGAATAGAGACAAACAAAGAAGCTGTTCAGGGACCCTTCGACCGGACGGGAGGGTGCGTGAGTGTGTACAAGATGTAAAATTGTTATTCTGACTTGCTGGCCCAAACGTGTTCGGTTGAACATACTGAAAAAATATTAATTTTTGCCGTTTGTTTTGCAAATTGCGCTCTTTTAGTTCGTAGTTATGTGACAATATATATAATATATATATGAGTCGGTGAAACTCCGACGAAACAGTTTGTCACAGCCCCTCGTTTGTTGTCCTCTTCTCCCTCTCTGGCTACGGTTTACCGGGCAGTTCTGTTTGACGATATATATATATTTGACGATATATATATATATATACGATATATATATATATATATATATATATATATATATCGTTTGGTGTCCTCTTCTCTCTCTCTGCCTACGGTTTACCGGGCAGTTCTGTTTGTGACAATATATATATATATATATAGTCGGTGAAACTCCGACGAAACAGTTTGTCACAGCCCCTCGTTTGTTGTCCTCTTCTCCCTCTCTGCCTACGGTTTACCGGGCAGTTCTATTTGACGATATATATGTTTGTTTCCCAAATTGCGCTCTTTTAGTTCATAGTTATGTGACAAAATATTTTTTTTAGGTTTTTGATTTTTAACTCGAGTTCGATTACGAATTTGAGCATACCGCCTATGCAAAAGTTTTGTATTATTATTTCACATAACATATATTTTTTTCAGTTTTTTCTGAGAACTTTTTTTTTATAATTATTTATAATTATTTTTATGTTCGCGTTCGGAGGGTTTTGGCGCTCGTTTGCGTTCGGTCGCGAATGTTCGGGGCGAACCCAAACACGATGCTACACAGAGACAAACAAAGAAGTATGTGTCTGCCTCCACCACTAAACATTCAACTTGTACCCGGAGTCCCCCTGGGCCAGATACATTCGGACTTGTACAACTCCAGAAGATATGTTCAGAATGTCTGGCAAGAGAGCGAGCCTCCCTCTGTGTGTGTGTGTGTGTGTGTGTGTGTGTGTGTGTGTGTGTGTGTGTTTGTGTGTGTGTCTGTCGTCCTCCCTGACAAGGTACGTGCGCAGTCCTTAGTTTGATAAGTCAACATTGCACGAGATCCGACTTGCGGGGCGTTCCTGGAGAAAGCAATGGCACGCTGCAATTCGACTTGAGAATGCGCAACTCGACTTGGAGAGAGAGAGAGAGAGAGAGAGAGAGAGAGAGAGAGAGAGGGAGAGAGAGAGAGAGAGAGAGAGAGAGAGAGAGAGAGAGAGAGAGAGAGAGAGAGAGAGAGAGAGAGAGAGAGAGATGTTAACCTTCTCTCGCAGCCCCTACCCCTGGTACTTGCTGACTGGACTGGCCTACAGGGACCTACGACCTTCTAGAGCCTACAGACTTACAGACAGACTCTAGGCCTCAACAGACTCAGATAGAGACTTCAAGAACAGACATTCCTCAGCCTAACAGTAACAGACCTAACTCCTAATCTACAGACCTAGGGATCGAGTCTCACGCAGATCATTGGGCCTATGTACAGGGTATAGGGTAGGTTTAGGGATCGAATTCCACTTAGCACACATGGTCAATGTACAGGGTTTGGGCACAGGTCTAGGGATCGAATCTCTGTGTCTGCAAATGTCGGGTCTACTGGGTGAAATCATTTGACTGATTGACTGATGGACTGATTGATTGATTGATTGATTGATTGATTAAATTTGATTGATTGATTTATTGATTAAACTAGTATTAAATAAAAAGGTGGTCTGCACCCGCACGTAAGTGTGTGGGTGTGTGTGCGCGCACGCACTCAAACACACACAAAACCCATTGATTGATTCAACTGAATCGAATCGATCGATGAGGGGTGTGTGTGCGCGCGCGCGCGCGTGCGTGCACACACACACACACACACACACACACACACACACACACATGCGGGCACAACCTGCGTTTTTTTTATCCCTTTCAATTCAATGAATTAAGGAATGAATGAATTAATGAAATTCAATCAATCAATCAATAAAAAAAACGCAGGTTGTGCCCGTCTGTGTGTGTGTGCGTTATAGCTGTATGCATTTGCGGCAACTTTCAGAGTTGATACAGCAATAATGACTGGACTTTCTTTTTGGGTGAAGATGGTAGCAGGAGATGGCAGCACCTAGCATCCAGCCAGCCCGCACCAGCCATAGCTGGGCTCAGGAAGAAGACCGGTGCCATAGCTGTAGACTGCTGAGGGGAAGGAGGAAGGTGGCGCCATAGCTGTGTAGCCAACCCAACCGCATGTATCGTAGCCTACACAGGAGGTCCTCCTGGCAGAGAGACACAACCCGTGGTCCTCAGTTCGATACACAGCAGCATGAAATGTGTATGAATTCAACTGAAGTGTACCGAACAGCATGCGTGCATAGAAGGCTATAAATTATAGCAAACCCAGAGGATAATCTTATTGGGAAAGCATGCGTGCATAGAAGGCTGTAAATTATAGCAAAAAAAAACAGAGCTCACAAACCTTGCCTTTCAAGCCATCCAGACCGAACCCAAACCTACACTTAAAAAACATTGACTAACCACAGTCATCATTGTTGTCCAGATACATTTTCTGAAAAACTGTGTACATTTGGAACATGCCAAGGACAGCGAGAAGGGAGACTACAATTATATCTCCCAATCGAAGGGCCTATTCTTACTACTCTGTGTATCTTGTGGAGGACAGCAACAAGATTACTACAATCAGATATCCGGATGTAACTCGCTTAGTGCCGACAATGTGGGTGGTGGCAGTGGCGTGGGATACTCCTGCACAAAAAAAAAAA